TCCTCCTACAACCTGTCCTCCTACAACCTGTCCTCCCACAACCTGTCCTACAACCTGTCCCCCTACAACCTGTCCTCCTACAACCTGTCCTCCCACAACCTGTCCTCCTACAACCTGTCCTACAACCTGTCCTCCTACAACCTGTCCTCCTACAACCTGTCCTCCTACAACCTGTCCTCCCACAACCTGTCCTCCCACAACCTGTCCTCCCACAACCTGTCCTCCCACAACCTGTCCTCCTACAACCTGTCCTCCTACAACCTGTCCTCCTACAACTTGTCCTCCTACAACCTGTCCTCCAACAACCTGTCCTCCCACAACCTGTTCTCCTACAACCTGTCCTACAACCTGTCCTCCTACAACCTGTCCTCCTACAACCTGTCCTCCAACAACCTGTCCTCCCACAACCTGTCCTCCTACAACCTGTCCTCCTACAACCTGTCCTCCTACAACCTGTCCTCCTACAACCTGTCCTCCCACAACCTGTCCTCCCACAACCTGTCCTCCCACAACCTGTCCTCCCACAACCTGTCCTCCTACAACCTGTCCTCCTACAACCTGTCCTTCTACAACCCGTCCTCTTACAAAGAACGTCGCTTTTCGCTCGTATGCGTTACATAAAGCCAAAAATTATCGTACTAGAAAATGAAAGCGGCTGGCGAAAGTGACGTACTGTCCCGTTTTCTGTTTTAGGTCCTCTGGTAGGTTAGGATAGACCACTTTAAATTGATCGTTTTCTTGACATTGGGAAACCTGAGGAGGAGGACGACAGGCTGTGGAGTTCAATCCCCGATGGTCGAAGTGATTGAGCACTGTTTCATTTCGCCCATCCATATAACACAGCTTCCTAAATTGTCCTCATATTCCTTCCTAGTTCTATATTATCGTACTGGCTTAGTACATTCTCCTGATAATTGCAATCTTGTAATCTCTTTCTCGAATTTTAATCGACATTAATCTGTGAATAATATCAAAATCAAGTCAAAGAACAAAAAAAATACAAAAAAAAAATAAAAGATTTGGTCTAGTTTTTTCTCAAATATATCATGCCAATGCCCCTCCTCCTCCTCCCCCCCCCCCCATCCCACCAGCTAATTAGGCTTTCAGCTCAACTATAAAGTCTTTTTTTCTCTTTGGCTTTGTCGATCTTAATTTAGTTAAGAACCAATGTAAAATTCTCTCGTGATATTAACTTCCTTTTCAAGCGAGAGTAGC